TCTTTACATTAGATCTAGTTGAGACTCTAGGGTCTTAATCTTGTGAAGGGGGACTAAAGCAAAACAACTACCTTTTGTACTTGCACCACCCAAAACAACTTTCTCACACATGTCTAATTTATTTAAATTTAGGTGGTCGAGTACACTCATCGATTTCAATTGTTGTATCATAAAAACAACAACAACACAATAAGTAATTTTAAGAACACAAACAACAACATTACGCAAAACATATTTTTGATTAGACAAACAAAAATGAAAGTTTCTAAACCAAACTTATATTTACCTTAATCACATCCCAAGTCACACTATTCCATATTTCCTAGGTCACACACTCATGCGCCTCCTTGGTCATCCTCTTCAGCACATCGTTGGTCGCCTCTCAAGTACCTCCTTGATCAACCTCTCTCCCACGTCTTGGATCATGCTCTCCCAAACCTCCTTGGTCTCTCTCTTCTCCATCTCCTTGGCCATCCTCTCCCACACCTCTCAGATCACTCTCTTCTCTACCTCGTAGGTCATACTCTCCCGCATAGTCGCCCGCTCATTTTCTAATTTTTTCTCTAGCCTCTGATATATTAGCTCTTCAATCTGGTTTTGCATATTATGTCACTCTTTGACGATGATCCGTAAAATAACCTCAGGCATGCGCCTCTTCCAACACCATAGATGCGATCATCGTGCTCATTAGCTCTAATCGCTTCTATCAATATATCACGACATCATTGCAGAACAAAGGCACCAACATTGGTTTTTTCATCCAACGAATCCTTTAACACAAATAAAAGTTCATTAACAAATTGATTTAACTTCTATTAATAATGTTAAAAAATGAATCTACTTCCAATCTTTTCAGCAACTATGTGTGTAACTCTGATGTGAACTTGCCTCCCGGTCTTTGACTCACTATCTTACATTTCTCTTGGCGTGATGATGGATATGGGTTGCGATCAATGCTTAGAGAAGGATCTCCCAATTCTTTGTCTTTTTTTTTTAATTTTTCTTTTACCATAATTTCTTCCAGTTTATCATATCCTCTATGAGACAATATATGATGATAAATATTTTTCCCCATTCTCCTTTCCTTTTTAACTCTTAGTTAGAAACTCATAAATACTACGAGACTCGAAAATTTTCTCCCAAATGTCTTTATCAATAAAACTATAAGTCACATATGAAGGTGTTAAGTTAGTTCTCTTTGATTTGTAGTATAATCTGTCGTGAAATGTGCCTTAAAATCTTGCAAATGCTCACCAACATATTATATTCATTTCTTTTTCAGATTATCATCTACTAGAAGAATAAAATATTATATATTTACAAAATAAAGTTGGTATTGTTATTGAACATAAAAATAAATGATCATATATACTTGCGAAACAAATCATGAAAGTTAAAACAAATACCTTAAGATAAGTCTATATACTCTTTTTCAATTTATAATTAACTTCATTCCAATTATCTAACAAAATTATCACTTTGCTTATACCAAGTAATATTGCGTAACTCTTAAAAGACGTAGCATTTTCACCATAACACTTACAACTTTGTAAACAAAAATTGATTGACATCTTAATACTGGTGTTGCAGGCTTTTGTCAACTTGGCCTTCATCGTGGCACCTCTAAAATTTCTTTTACTTTTAGGCTTAGTAGATGTGGTTGTAGGATAGACGGTTGTTGTATGAGAGGTGGTGGTTGCAGAAGATGGCGTGGTTAAATCGTCCATCTCTGTAGAAACAACAAACGGCAGTAAACATATTACTTACTAAGAGCATTTCATATGTATAAACTCATAGTCATTTTACTTAAGCAAAACTAAAATGGAAAACATCTTTTACACAAATAAGGAAGAAAAAAACTTATTTTCATTCTTATTAACATACTCAGAATATATAACATAATCTACACAACAAAAACTAACATTTTTAAGTTATGTGCAACATAAAGTGAAATGAGTGTGTTACGTAACAAATATGTGGTGAAGAAGATAAACAATGGTGGAGGAAGCTTCGTTGATGTTTGATTGTCTTTCCTTTGTTTCAAGCTACACTTGAGCTTCAATGGCGTTATGGTGTTGAAGGGGGAAAACGTACGTTGATGTTCAAAAACTTACATGTGTTGGATATAATGATATTTCGAAAACGATTATGAAATACAAGTTTAGATGTTAGGGCGTTTAAATGGAAATGATGAAGATGAAAACTGCCTACAGTATACTTTTTTAAAAGACCTATCGATTTTGCAGGACAATGAAGATAAATGAGAGTTGAATAGTTATATAATGTAGTCATGGAAAATAAATGCACAATATATTTACTCTCGGTTGAACAAATCAACCGAAGGAATAAAAATAATTTTAATAATTTTTTTTAAAAAATAAATAACTAATATTACCTCTTAGTTGTTAAATCCAACCGAAACAATAGATTTATTTAAAATAAAAAATAATAATAAGATGTTAATTTAAAAAATAATAGATAAATTTTAATTAAAAAAAATTTCCTTCTTAAAATTAAATAAATACATTATAAAAAATAAAAGTAAAAATACAAGAGTTGAGATTTGAAGCATGATTCTTTCACCATATTTTTTCTCGGTTGAATGTAAAACCAATAAAATAAGTAATAATTTTTTTTATTAAAATTAAAATTAAAATATCTAGTGATGAGTATACTTCGATTTATTGGAACATCGACCTAAATAGTTGTTAGGAAAAAATAGTATTCGTAGCCGTGATAATCTTTAAAGAAAATCAAAATTTTTAAAATAAAATTTCTTCTTAAAATATTCATTTAAAATCCCATTGTAATATACTCCATTAAATTTATTTTCTCTCAAAAAGGTTGAATTTTTTGGATTGGTCTTTCACTTTCTCACTGAAATGACTTTTTCTGTGTTAGAAAATTGTAAACCTAGTGATACCCTTGGTTTCCTAATTTCATGTTGTTTTCTTCATAATGTCACTTTTAAGAAGTTACGTGCTATTTCATCCATATTGTTTTGGGACCAATTTCTTTATTTGCATGGGTAGTTCTGTCTATGGCATGTGCACTATAGAACCAATAATGACATAAACCTTCTTTAATTGGATGGATACTTATGATATCTAAACTTGTGATACCGATGACATCTAAACCTAGGTTTTGTTATTTTAGGTTGGGTGGAAATTATGGGCAACCAATATTGATTTATATAAGTGTTTAAATATGATAAAAGAAAATGTACAATTCAGTTAATGACGATAAATGCATTATCAATAATCCGACATAGAAAGTTATATTCACTTTAAAAACTTTTATAAAGACTTAAAAACATTAAATTCAATAAAGGAGATGATGAAGATAAAGTGTCATATAGACAAATGTGGTGGTCCTAAATATTATGTCACATGTTTTATCCAAATAATTCTGCTACTTATGGGGTTTTGGTTGTTACTTAACCTTTGAATTTCGAATTCGAAATATGAACATTTCATGAAATGGTATATAATGTAAATCATAGATAAACCATTGCAAACTTATGCTAACCACGTGCATGATCCATAAATATTTTAGAATGGTTATAATTAAATACAAAAGATAAAATTTGTCTTAACAAAAAGCTTAAAACATTTTAGAATAGTTATAATCATATACAAAATATAAAATAAGTCTGGACAAAAAGCTTAAAATATTTTAGAATAGGAATCTCAGGGATTAGAAAAATTAAATTAAGTTGGCAATTTAAATCAAAAAGAAAAAATGAATTGGTATTTTTTTTGTTCAAAAACTGAACCAAATTAATGAAAGTCGAAGTCATTTAGTTCGATTCTCGATTTTAGTTTTTAAAAACTGAAAATTTCATTCACATTAAAAACCTCTATAAAGAGTTACATTCATTAACTCAACAAAAGAGGTAAATGTTGAGAATAATAAGTCAATTGTGAGTTGGAGCCCCACATTGATTTTAAATGTGGAGATTTGAGCATTTATAAATAGGAGAGTCCACGCACCTATCACTTTAAGATTTTGTGTGAATATGTGGAGTCTCTTTCACTTGTGTATTGCTCTTAGCCCAATGTTAATGCTCCTTCTCATGATCCAACGGTAAAGAGGATAAAATGTCACATAGACAAGTGTGATGGTCACAAGCCTTATGCCATTTGTCTCCTCCATACACCCCTCTCGCTGGTGTCGCCGCTGCCAGACCGGGTCTGAATGTGTGCGCGTAGAGGCGCTAGTGATGACTTGTAGGCAGCACTTGAACACTTTGGCACGACGCATCGGGCTACTCGCTGCTTCAGTGACGCTTTGAATTCAGAAATAGGCAACCATCCGTGAAGTGTTGCAGAATGAAAATAGACAACGCCTGAAAAGAGTTGTTATAAGAGAAACATTACAACTTTCATAAAGTGTTGTTGAAAGAGTGTTGTTTCATCAATGATCGTAATAATGTGAAACAACATTAACACGGCCTATAAATTGATCATTATGGATTCAAAAAACACATAACAAAAACATACATCCTTCTCAATAAAATTTCAGATTTTCTTTCATACATTCGAGTTTTCATCAATCTTGTGCAAACTCGAGTATAGGCTAAATTATCTTGTGTAATCTTGCATAGAAGTTCTAAGACATTTGAGACTGCTTGAAATACTATAAAAAAAGTGATTCGTCCACGATTCCAGTTTGAATTCATTCAATTCATTAGTTCGAACAATTTTTAAATAAAAATCAATCCAAATCAAATTGATTATACCTCTGTCTTAAAATTAATTTAGTTACTTTAACTATTATATTTTATTATAAAGAATTACTAAATTAATTAAAATTTACTCAGAGATCACGATAGCGGTATAAAGGGTATCATATATTCATTATAAAAAAAAAACATCATATCACAATTCAATTACTCACTTATTTTATTTCTTTTAACTCAATTATTCTTCCAAACACAACACAAAAATTCTAAAATTTAAAATTTAATACTCCCATTACATTATTTTTGACAAAACAAATCAAAGAGGACAATTGAGACGATAACTAGGTACTGCAACAAGCTGAACAGCTCTAGGAGCTGTGAGACCAAACACATCATTCATATCAAGCTCACTTGGTTTCATACCATTAGGTAACTCCCAATTGAAACAATGAAGCAAATTAGCCACGGCTATGTCCACACCATACAGTCCAAGTTGCATTCCTGGACAAGACCTTCTTCCTGACCCAAAAGGAATGAACTCAAAGTTGTTTCCTTTGAAATCAGGCATACCCTCGTTCAAAAATCTTGACGGGTTAAATTTCTCCGGCTCATCCCACGCGGTTTTGTCGCGCCCGATCGCCCATGCGTTTATCATAACGCGTGTCGATTTCGGGATAAAGTAACCTGCGAGAAAACGATAATATTGAGTGATAAGAATGTAAATATTTATGAGCGAAATAAGAAATAAATAAGGACCTGAGACGGTTGTGTCTTGTACTGTCTCGTGGAGAAGTAGGGGAATCGGAGGGTGGAGTCGAAGGGTTTCTTTGATAATGCATTTGAGAAAAGGTATGTTTTCTAGATCGGTTTCGTTGAATCTTCGATCCAATCCTACGACATTGGCAAGGTCTTGTTGAATCCTTTCAAGATCTTTTGGGCTTTTCATGAGCTCTGCCATTGCCCATTCTATCACTGATGCTACTGTCTCAGTTCCACCAAACATCACGTCCTACATTAAAATATGTTTGAATATGAGAATAATCTTTGTTAAATTTAAGGTTTAATATATCTAGAGAAAATATAGGGGCATACAAATCTCAACTTGAGTCTAATTAGAGATGAATCTTTAGACAATATATCTTGTAAACTGGGCCTTTTATAAATTCAAAGTCAAATTCTAATCACAACATATTTGACTAGCAAATAGTGGATTATATATATATATATATAGAGAGAGAGAGAGAGCAAATTACAATTTTATTTATATGAATGTATATTTTTATTTTTTTTTAAAAGTAACTTATTTAATGAAATGTAAAATAATGTAAAGGATAAAATATCATTAAAGTTTTTATTCCTTTTAAATGATAGAAATGTTCATATTAATACTAATATTAAATACATCAATCAAACTTTCTTTATTACAATTAATATGGACATAATAAATTTAAAACATCTATTATTGTGTTATAAATAAAAATCATTATTTTTAGATTTATTGAATAATTAATATATTTAATTTATATTTAAAATTAAATATATTAATTGTTCAACAAATTTTTAAATAAATAGTTATTTATACTTATATTTGAGATTGAGGAAATTACTAATTGATATAGAGATGTTTGTATATATGTGTAAAACAAGTACTTTGTATAAATTTGTTAGGCTCAATAATAAAATTATAATTAAATGTTTTTTGACTCAATTATAAGAAATTAAAAATAACAATAAAATGTTGGTAAAATTAATAATTAAATGTTGTGCAAAATTTATAAGTTATTTTTAAATTGTGTTTTGAAAATAATTTCTTTAAAATTGTAATATCTAAAAAACCATCTCCTAGTCTATTATTGTAATATCTTAATTTTTTATATATATATTAAAAAATAAACTATGGAATTTAATATAAATTTATGCTATTTATTTTATATAGAGAGATTTCAAAAGCATTGTCTAAATTAACCTATTATTTTAACTTGTCATGTTCTACTACTAATAATAAGAGGCATATTAGAGAATAAATAAAGAAATAAATAAACATAATATTTTACCATGATAAGAGCTTTGATATTATCTCTAGTAAGCTTAAGCGTGGATTGTGAAGTTTCTGCAGCATTAACATCGCTTTCATCAAGAAACGCCATTAATTCATCAACCATATCTTGATCACCTTCATTCTCACTATCTTTATTCTCCATGCTATTCTTCCTCTTTGTCACATGATCATCAATAATCTCATCAATAAACACATCAAGTGCTTTTCTTGCACTAGCCAATCTTTTGTTGAAATCCTGTCCATTAAACCACCGCAACCACGGAAGAAATTCAGCGATGTCAAAAGCTCCGAAAAGCTTAGAAAACTCTTGCAAAATTCCCATGAATTCATCTTGCCCTTTGTTGAGATTCGACCCAAACGCAGCTTTAAAGGTGATGCTTCTCGTAAGAGAGAAAATCAGTTCGCCTAAATTAACAGGCGAACCTATTTTTGAAGCAACGGCCTTAACCGTTGTCTCAACTTCCTCTCTTACGGAAGCCCATGATTCAGCCCGTTTACGGCTGAAGAGTTTCATGACACAGATCTTACGCATTTGCCTCCAAAACGGACCATAGTTAGCGAATGCCATGTCGGCCTGGTCATATGTTAGGTAAGTGATTGCAATATTGGCCGGCCGGTTCGCGAAAACCCCGTCTTGGACTTGAAGGACTTCGCGGGCCATTTCGGGAGTCGAAACGGCAACAATGTGGATCACACCCATTCGGAGGTGGCAGAATCCACCGTACTTTTCGGCCAGCTTGGCCATGCCATGGTGAGTTAGTTGATCCATTATCAACATGTTCCCTATGATGGGTAAACCTTTTGGGCCTGGTGGGTATGGGAGTTTTTTCTTACGAAAAGTGAGTGAAAAGATAACAAGAGTTGAGAGAGTGATGAGAAGAAAAATAAGAGTTGAAGGTTCAACATATTGCAGAATCAACTCCATCGGCATTGTGGTGTGTGGCTGGAATGAGATGAAGAGAGTTTATAAGCATCGAATTAATACTTATTATGAATATTATTATATTTAAATTTTATGATTTACTTACCATAGGAAGGATTGATATTTATAGTAATTTGATATTATTTTTTTAATAAATCAATATTCTTAAATTACATTGTTATTTTTATTTTTTTTCCTTTTTTTGTTATTAAAAGTTAAAACTAAAAATGGGAATTCTGCTAAATTAATTCAAAAATTAATTTTAAATTACTCCAAGAGTGGGATCAACTTACTTCGAGAATAAATTTTTGTAAATTACCTTTAATCATAACTTTTAAATTGAATCTAATTTAGTTATTAAATTAGCATTTTTATTTATAACTATTCGACTAAATCTAAGTTATAATTGTGAGTAAATTATAAAGACTTACTCTTAGAGTAAGTGATTTCTCTCTCTCTCTCTCTCTCTCTCTCTCTCTCTCTCTCTATATATATATATATATATATATATATATATATATATATATATATATATATATATATATATATATATATATATATATATATATGGTCATGCTAACCAGTGCCCTCAGGACACTAGTTAAGAATTTCAAATAAGAAAAATATGTTATATTTAGTTCATTAAATACACACCATATTTTTTAAAAAGTCTGATTATTTCTCTTTTCAGGGCATTAAATACACATATATTTAGAAAAAATGTATTTTCAATCTCTTAAATAATGTATAACTTACCATTTTAATCTCTTAATCAATGTCCTGCGGGCACTCGTTATAGCATTTCCCATATATATATTCTTACATCAGAAGTAAGTTATTAAATATGAGACATAAATGTGCGATTGAATCCACACAATTATTACTTTTTTTTATATATGTGAGATAACAAAAAAAGAAAGATGGAAGAAGTATATAATCTACAAGTCTCTCATATAAGTTTAAGTTGTCAAGTGGTATATGAGCAGTTTTTCTGAAAGTATTGACCACCAAAAGCGAATTTGATTCAATACAAAGATGGTGCTAATTGAAATGAAAAGTTATTTCAATGGCTTTGAGCACGACATATAATTTTGCAAGGAGAGATGATTTCTAAGGTAAAGGCTAAAAAAACAATAATAAAGTCACATTTATGGTTCTAAAAAGACCACCACAAGAAACCTTATGTATGTTAATAAGGAGAGCACCATCGTAATTCCCTTTGACCCAAGGTGAGTTAGAAGGAGTACAAATCACTTCCTTAATAGAAGGAGTCTTAGGTGGATGCAAAGGAATACCAAAAGCTGACAACAATCTCATTCATGGAATTAGAGGAAGATAATCTGGATCACTTAGTAGTGATGCTAATTTGAGATCTGATATGAGGTATGATGAACTTCATAGTCACTCTTCTTTTCTTGAGTCTGACAGAGTTCCTAGCAGACCAAATGACATTAATAAGAAATATGGAAGCTGAATTGAAGATTAATAAACCATGCTTAGGCCTGTTTCTATCACCAATAAGCCATAACTTATCCAAAAAGGAAAAATGCAAGGGAGTTTGAAGAACAGAACTGAGCCAACACCAAAGCTTTATAGAAAAAGGATATTCAAAGAAAATATGTAAAGTAGTTTCAGAAGAGGAATGACATAAGGAGCACATTAAGGCCATTGAACTGCCTATGAGGTCTAATATCTCATCACAAGGAACTTTGTTATGCATTAACCTCCACACCAAGAGAGATTTGGAAGGGGGATATCATTAGAAAAAATAGTCTTAGTCTAATTCAAAGATATAGAGCAGGCACCTCGAACATATAAGCATCTTTAAGGACCAAGATACATGGAGTTCTTTTAAACTATTTGATCATCAAGCAATCCAGAAGGAGGTTTTGTGTTCGATAACAATAGACACACTTCAATGAATGTAGAAGTCCAATTAGAAGGAATGTTCCACTAATTGGCTGCTATAAACTCATCTAACTTAACTTCTAAAGAGATACCTTGTAAATCAAGTAACACTGGATCAACTAGAGAAATTAGAGGATTTCCATGCCAATTGTCTTTCCAAAAAAATATAGAGGAGTCATTCCTAGGAATTGAAGCAGAATTTACAAAAATGAAAAATATTTCTATTTTAATACTTGACCACTGAGAGGAATATATGTGATGTTTAATGAAAACAAATGATCTTTTCACTCTAGCCTTCAACATTTTGTCCTAGGGTTCAGCACTTCGCATGAGATCCCAACATAGTTTTAAATTGCTAGCTTTATTTAATCAAATAAGGGACCTGAGCCTAAAGTCACCGTGAATAATACACATGCAAAGAGTTTTCCATGAAACAATCACCATTTTTGTCTTTTTTTATGTCACCACTCCATATGAAATTTTGAATGGCTTTTTCAATTGTTCTAAGAGTTTCAAAGAGCCAAGCATAACCAGACATGAAATGAATCAACATACTTTGGACCACAACTTTGACAAGGAAAACTCTCCCTGTTATAGATAAAAGAAAGCCTTTCCAAGAAGAGAGCTTAGTTATATTTTTATCAACAATTGGTTGTAAATGAGTTATTTTGGCCTTGCCTTTTAAAATGGGAACACCTAAGTACCTGAAGGGGAAAGATCCTTTAGAAAATATAGTGTTGGCCACAAAATAGTTGAGTATATCATTAGACATTGAACTTGAGAAAATAATGGACTTTGATTGATTGAACACTTGCCTGTGTGCTGTAAAATTCTGGTAATCAAACACCAGATGTCGAGTAAGATGTCACGACACTGAGATTAAGACAATATGACAACACAAAAAACTATGGAGTTAACGTAAATGGTTGGATGTAAATAGCACAATCAATTGTTAATCCAGTTCGGTGCAACATCACCTACATCTGTGGGCATCCAAGGCAGGAAGGAAATCCATTATAATAATATTAGTTTGAAGTTATAAACAACCTCTAGTTTAACAAGCTTCGCACTTAATCACTACCCGTGATATTTCTATCTAAGACACTCCTAGATATAAGACCCCTCTCACTTCCCTTCAATCACACAATAGTGAAAAACCCAAGAACAAAGAATAATAGAAGACACACTTCCAATGACACAAAATTCACTTTTGCTTAAAAACTTATGAGTGATTACAACTCAAACACAATCCAATTCAAGCACCTAAGAAGTACACGAATGGCTCACAAAGATTAATGAACACAACCTAACTCAGATATCAAGGTGATATCAAAGTGGATCACAAATACTAAAGGACAAACTAAACCCTAAAAAATTCTTCCATCAATACACAACTTCAATATTTTATTAGATTTAGAACAACTCTCTCTCTCTCTCTCTCTCTCTCTCTCTCTCTCTCTCTCTCTCTCTCTCTCTCTCTCTCTCTCTCTCTCTCTCTCTCTCTCTCTCTCTCTCTCTCTCTCTCTCTCTCTCTCTCTCTCTCTCTCTCTCTCTCTCTCTCTCTCTCTCTCTCTCTCTCTCTCTCTATATATATATATATATATATATATATATATATATATATATATATATATATATATATATATATATATATATATATATATATATATATATATATATATATATATATATATATATATATATATATATATATATATATATATATATATATATATATATATATATATCAACATGGGTTTGAGCTATTTATCTAAATAAAACTCATATCCCAAAGACAGCATGTGCAAATCTTCTACAAATCTTCGGCATGAAACTAGGAACAAAATAGAAAGTTTTCTAAAAAATCTCCAAGATCCTTTTTATTAAACAAATGTGCTTCTGGCACAAAATTGCTTTCTTAAAATAGCCCTCATTAGAAACCGACAAAGTGAACTAAAATCAAATAAAATCTCACACTTTAAAAACAAATCTTTCAAATAAGTAAAACCCTAACACTGGTATAACATGGTACGTCATCGTGCATGACATTACTGCAAATAATGTCTGACCAACATGTCAAGACATCTTGGTCAACATCTTACTATGATACTTGTTTTATCAAAATTGCTATCAATCCCAAAAACTCAGAATTTACATGCTGCAATATATTTTAAAAAAAAACATAATTTAAAGCTGAGATATTAGAGTGTTTTCTTTTGTAAAAAATGAGAATGTCTGCGTGTAAAGAGTGAAAAGAAACTTTTACTTGTCTAACTTTATTAATAAGAGAAAGTTTTTTTAGGCACTAGCAAGAATATACTTTTACTAACAACATCCTCGACCAGACAAAACAAGACAGAAAGGATGAGTTAAATAGGTGTAAATTGTTGGTTCAGAATTTAATATTAACATTTATTCATATTTATACATAAATGAAATGTTGGTATGATAAGTCAACAATTTTTTTTTTTTAAATCTCTCAAAATATTACCATAACAATCAGGCCCTTAAATCTATCACAAAATTCAAAAATATTTGGGTCAGATGGTAAGACTTTTTTCAAAAAATTATTAAGAAATTACACATTTATTTATAAAAATGACATATTTAAAAATATATCTTTCCTACATATTTATTACTATTTTTGAGAATCATATGTTTTTTTTTACATTTTCAAGAAAGATATTTTCTTTAGTTTCATAAAAAAAAATATTGTAGTCTTTATAAACTATGAATGTATTATTTAATTCATTAATTACAATAGATATAATCATTCTTAATTAATTATTTAATTATCTGTTTACATAATTTATTATAGTAAATGGTTATTAACAGTAAGTTGATAAATTATTTGACTGAGTTTTATTTTTGATATCTTTTTTATATTTTAAAAAAAAAAATCATTTTTTTATGATAAGGACAATAAGGAGTATAATTTATATTTATATGTACCTGGACTGTCGCGAATAATTTATACGTGTTGTTCTAATCTTTAAGTATAGTAATTTTTAATAAAAATAATAATATATTTTTTATTTTTAATATATTATTATAAAATAAATTTTAACAATATATTATTAGAAAAAAATATATAT